TAGCCTGAAGGTTAACTTGAAATTTTTAGTATTACCACCCTGAAGAGAAAAAAAAGATCACTCTAAATATTTCCATTAAAGAAGAATGACAGCGTATATCCTACCATAAGCAACTCCCGTATTTTTAGTCTAAGAAGTTTCTGTTCTGATTGAACAGTTTATATTTTGCATTTTCTGGCTCCTCATTTCCACATGCTAATACAATTTTAAATAAAACCTTTCTGGTTTTTATTACATACCTTTTCCAAAACCCAGTGACATCACTGGTCCACTGTGCTTCTTTATGTAATACAGCCAGATCATGGTGGAAGGGCAGGCAGGGGGCTGTACTTAGCTTCCTAAAAAACATCACATCAACTTGCCCCTGTACTCATATCAAGAAACCTCAGCCCTGACACAAGAAGTGGGCTGGCACTGGTATGAGTTATGCAAATATTAAAAAGCCTTGATGGGTGAAGGAGTGGGCATTCCTAGGCAGACTGCATAGATGAAAGAACTAAAATCAAGTGCATGGAAGAAGGGGGCCAGTAAGACGGGGGAAAGAGCTATCCTCCACCATGAAAATGAGGTGAGCACTGTCTGACTTGCTGCTCACAGTATGCAGTGAAAGGTGCCCATACACCTGCTGATTATCGTACGATAATGGTGGGTGATCCCGCGATCGTACGATAATCGGCAGGTGTATGGGAACTGAAAGTCCGCTGTCGCCTATGAGGGGTGGATGGACGGACCGGTAGGTTCCTGGCGTAATTGGTAGGGAGCCGGATGAGGTTCCAGGCCCCGGAGCTTTCGACCCTAGTTAAAAAAAACATGCCGAAAATCGTACGATTTTCGGCGGGTTAGTGCCGCGCTCGGGAAACGAATGCCGCAGCGGGGAGGGCTTGCGATGATCGCAAGTACGATCTGCCTGTACAAGATGGGCAGATCGTACGAAATTTTAATTACCTTACAACCATCAAACAAAGAAAGTCATGCGATGGTTGTAAGGTCTATGGCCAGCTTTAGAGTGTTCAGTACAGAAGAGATGCCTGTACACAGTGTAATCCCTCATCAGTACAGAAGAGATGCCTGTACATTTGTGCAAGACTGAAGGTTGGGCTGGAGTTTAGCTTCAATGGCATAGTGCAAAGTCATAGGCTGCAGTAGTCATCACTAGCCAATTAGAAATGAGCTCTCAATCAACATTTTGCCCATTTCAACAATGTAGACAGTTACCACTCATTCCGCCTGGATGTGGGGAAATGTGCATTGTTAAGGATGTCAGAACTTAATGCAGTAGAAATACATGAGGGGTCAAAATTATCTCCCAAATGTTTTACCATGCTTACAGGAAAGTTCAAAACCCTGTGCTTATGGTCCCCTACAGACAGGTAGAGGAAATTTGTTTTAGGACAGTGGTTAAAGACATATCAAATCCATTATGCCAATTGTCCATGGAAACTTGTCTCATGCAATAAAGACATTTGATGACCTTATGCACAACCTAAGGCAGATTTTAGCTCGTATTATTTTTAAATAAGCAATTGTTTTCCAGGCAAGATAAAGAAAAATAGTATTCACCATCTCTTATCATAATACAGCTTCCCATCTTCTATCCGAGCCTCAAACCTCTGGGCAGGAGATTCCGTTTGGGTAGCAGGAAGATGTTCCGGTGTTGATGGAGATACTGAAAAAAAAAAAAGTATAGAAAGAAGTAAAGTACAGTCCCTTTAAGTGACACTAAACTCAGAAGATAAATGTTAAAAATACATTCAAGTACCATAACAAATACCAAAAATATATCTTATTTATCACTCAGCTGTAGATCCTCAAATCATCTCTGAATTGGTGCGGACACTGTCCTTACTTCTGGAGGGTGGCTTCTTTTGTTCCCCATGGTCCCTGTGTGTGTTGTAAAGTAGCCATCACTCCAAACTCACTCATGTGATGGACTACAATCTCCATACAAATCAGTAAACTGAGATTATGAGATTGATGAGATTGTAGTCCATTACAGGAATGAGCTTGGAGCGGTGGCTACTTTACAACAGACACATGGACCATGGGGAACAAAAGTAGCCACCCTCCAGAAGGAAGGACAGTATCAGCACCAATTCAGAGATGATTTGAGGATCTACAGCCGAGTGATACACAAATAGGATACATTGTTGTTAATAGTTAAGGTACTTGAATGCATTTTTAAGATTTAACTCCTGAGTTTAGCGTCACATTAATACTAACTGATCACTATAATGTAGCAACAGTAAAACAAGATAAGCAGACACACAAACCTTTGTTGAAAAGCACATTCCATGTACAATTGATAAAGTATGATTTTGCATATCAATGTATTACAGGGTTTGCAAGATAGTTTTTTATACTTTCAGCCCTGCTGTAGAGCAGTAACGTCGTAATTCACAGAAAAATGGGTTTTGCAATTAGCTGAGTGTTTTAGCTAGACACAGATCTGTATTAGCCGCAGTCAGCAGCGGGGGTCATTTCCAGCTACTGGAATGCTTCCAGATTTGGAAGCATGCGGTGTGGTCGTAGACTGATGACCGCTTTAATCACTACAAAAGATAAGTCACAACTGTTCTGAGTAGGCTCATAGAGTGATCCGAAGATGATGCCAACGAGCACTGAAATCAGCATCCTCCAATGCGTGACATGCGTCCTGATCACAGGCTTTGCTGAAGTGGGATCTGGATTGATGCTGAAAGTCCTACTTCTGTCCTATGGTTTTCTAATACAACTAAGTGGAACAATTACATTTTACTTGTGTATGCAAGTTACTATTCACTAGAACTAAACTAGTGCAAAACTAGGGAGGCTTCTACTCAGATGATATTTTGTTTTGAGCAGAGTGGATTATAACCACCCCTTACTTTACACACTGAACTCTGGTTATGGTCATCTTTTAAGGAACATACACCTCAAATAGTGCTCACTGAAGACAGATGCAACTCACTGATCTAAATAGGAAACTGTACGAAATGACAAGCAATAAGCGATGCTCAGCATATAGAATAATAATTAAATGAATGATATTCATATTTATATGACATATTTGTAGCCAGTGAGCTTTTTATAACAGCAAACAGAGTATATAGGTAAGTGGAAGCTACATTTTTAAATACACCAAGTGTAAGTAAGTGAATTTGACTTGCTTCTAGCCTCCTACAATGCCCTGTACAAAATCTCTCAGGTTGGGAGAGTCGGGGGCAGCACCAGAAGCCAGAGTTAAAGGAGAACTATGGGGTTAAGGCTTTTCCGCATAGTTCTCCTTAGGGTAACGGGAGGACACAAACTAGCATCCTCCCGTCACCCTAAGCTCAGTATACAGCTCGCGGTATACTGAGACGCCACAGTATACCCGCAAGCTACTGCTCACGGTATACTGAGGAGCCACAGTATACCGCAAGCTACTGCTCGCGGTATACTGAGACGCCGCAGCGGATCCCGACAATTATGTCTGGATCCGCCCAGCTGCGTGAGTGACAGCTGGCTCTGACTATCTAGAGGCAGAGCCAGCTGTACCCGTCCCCTCCCCCGTCCGATCCGCCAGTCAGCGCTGGAGGATCGGAGCGGGAGGGGGGAATCCAGCCCCTCCCCTGTCACAGCAGAGAGCTGTGACACTCACCTCATAGTTCTCCTTTAAGCTTAAAGGCTATTTCACATGAAAGTTGGCTTCAGCTTGTAGCAGTGCAGTGTAATCACCAAGTTTTGAACAGCTTTCTCGCACACTTTAATGTACCCTTTAGCTTCAGTTTGTGGATTTTAAACACATATGTTATGGGAGTGCTGTCTGTCACATTAAACAAACTTCTTGCAGGCTTCCCTAGCAAAACTTCCCTGTTTAAGAGCTACCACTGCCTAAAAAATCTTCTGTATCCAACACTTCCGGGAGTGTCACATGCCTGGTCCCCCTTTGCACTCTGTGGCTCTATCCAAATAGCCTCTACATCACTCCGGGACACATTCGACGCAGACAGAGGATTCTGTAGAGTCTGCAGATTGAAGATCGATGGCACAGGCAAGTATTACTGTATCTTTTTACAGGCACTCAGTTGTTAAGTGTTTTCAGGAGTGGGTCGCTCCAGGTTTTAAAGATCTCTAGATGGGGGTGAGGTAAATGTAATTATGTGCACTACACTTAAGTAGGGTATACATAGGTCTATTTTTTTTGTGGCTGAATGAGAAAAATTGATTCCGCCAACCACGCTAAACAATGTGACTGGACGCATCCCCCACTGCTGCTAATGCATTCTGACAGCGATCACAGATTTTCCAACATGTTCCTTCGGAAAAAATCTAATAAAAATCGACTTGTGTTGAAGAAATAGGGCTACCAACACAGCAAATTTCAGATGGTTCCTGCTGAATTGGATGAAATTCGCTAGGTGTGTACCCAGCTTTACCTTTATTCCCCCAATCCAGAGATCTTCATGTCTAAATTATGGAGCTGGCATGCTTCTGCTTTCAGTGCTCTAAACCACAAGCAGCCAGAACTAGTTGTTGGCCCCATACAAGTCTACAGGTATTTGGCAGTCAAGTGGCTGCCTGCAGAGAACAAAGATGAGAGTAGAGGTGTGGTGGCTGCCAAACTTTAGCCCCAAAAATACTTCTGGATCAAAGGAATGGAGATAAACATTATGCACAGAATTAAATCTAATAACCGTTAAGTTCTTTGGTGTTTTTAAAATCGCTACTGAGAAACACTCTAATAGCAGTGTTAGAATTTAGCAATATTACAGCGTTTTCATATTTGCTGGTTATGGTTACTTACCTGGTCTTTTAGGGGATTTTAACTGTTAAAAAGAACACAAAAAATGGATTTAAGCCAATCAATAGCAACACCAAAATACATATAGTTATACTATGCAAAATACCATGCAACCAGTTTGTATTGCATAAACCCAGAACTCTGGTATTGTAAAGTATAATTGACAGCTCTACCCAAAAATGTTTTAGGTGGGCACTGGACAGGTTGACTAGTCCACCCGTTTCCTATATATCTCAGACTTTAGTGGTACAAATTTTGTTGCAATTCTTTACCTCTCATTGGGTCATAATGAAGGTGTCACCCTCTCAATACAACACTATCTGGTTTTCTAACAACTAAAGGCTGCTAAGTGATCTAGGGAATTCATTTAAAAAAAAAAAAAAATTAAAAACACGCAAAAGAGAAATGGGGTGAAAGTGGAATCGAAGATTGAAAGATTTCTTTAGTATGTGTCAAACAAATTAATTCTACTGCTAGTGCACACATACTGCATAATGGCAATACATAAAATTAATGTATACATGCCACTCAATATATCTGCATTAATGAGTGGCATGTCCTCACAACATACTGTTGTTATCTGCAGGTATCTGATATTGGTACCAAACATTAGCACTTTGCCTCTGCAATATCTTTCACTAGTCAAACAGTCACAAAGTCAGGTGAATCTAGTGAAACAAGCTATTTAATGTGTTTTGACACCCACAGATGGTTAGGCTGCAGACTGAGTACGCTGATGGGGAGATACTCCCTATGACTTTAAAATGTATCTGCAGGGAAGGAAAAGTGTATTCTGATAAGGACATCTGGAAATATGTATGTAAATTAGGCAATACCTTATTTAGGGTTCTTAAATCTTCCATGATCTGCTCATCGGTAAGAAGGTAATTAAGCTGGGGTGAAAAGGTTAAGGCAAAATGTAAAGATAAGTGGAATTACAGGCACACAGCAGGATCCAAACAACGCTGGTGTATTTCTCCCTTGTGATTTCAGGATATTTCTATTGGATAATCACCTGATATTGAAGCACATATTACAGAGACTGTTGGAGGAAGGAGCTTGAGATAAGCAGGTGCTTAGGATCAACACATCCAAAAAAGGGAGATTGTGCAGACAGACCTTTCCATATAAACGGTGTTCTCAGGAGGTGAGCGTTATTTTGGTGGGGGGAGAAGCACATAGTGTTGGAAAAAGTGTGTCCATCAGATCACTGTTGGAGGAGTACGATTTGATACAACACAGTAAAAGGAGGAGATTGTACACATCTTATATATACACAGTTGTGCTCGAAAATTTGCATATCCTGGCAGAAATAGTGAAATTTTGGCATTGATATAGAAAATATGACTGAACATGTACAGGTGAAACTCGAATAATTAGAATATCGAACAAAAGTTCATTTATTTCACTAATGCCACTTAAAAGGTGAAACTAATATATGAGATAGACTCATTACATGCAAAGCAAGATAGTTCAAGCCGTGATTTGTCAATTTTGATTGAAGCTTGGTGTAGCATAGTGTGAGATTGTGGAGACTTATGCAACTGGACATATGGTTGCATAGTCCAGTGTGCTATAAATTGATACTTTTTGTTTTAGGATTTGTTTGCAGTGTTTATGTTAAAATAAGTCACTGACACATTTGTATATTTTTGCACTGACAATCTAATGTATCATTTATAATGTATAATTAATTTAAGGTTACAACAAAACAGTTTGGTGTCCTGATAAAGTGGAACTTTACCCCCTTTCACTAGAAATCACATCAGCATGAAGCTCTGTGTGCTGATATGAAATCATCTTGCATTCATTAAACAAACATATTGTACTTTTAGTTACAATCACTGTTTCTCCACTTCCTGGTCCTCTTGGGCAATAGTGATGTAATCTGTGACCAAGCAATGCATCCTGGGAAGGTTACATGAGCAGAGCATTGGTGGGAAATCTCATCTGTAATATCACAAGATCCCAGGGAAAGGCATTTCCCTCCCCTGAGATGATGTGCATGGTCACGTGTTCTAGTCACATGTTGCAGTGTTCCAGGAAGTAAAGGGAGATGGATTAATCTACCCTTAGTAAAAATGACCAGTGAGAAGAATGGGGAGGAAAAGAAATGCAAAGAATAAAAAGCCGGCAATTATCTAGAAGCATGTGTTTGTAGATTGTCATTACTAAACATTTCTAAAAGGTGTGTTTGTTTCCATTACAAAGTTATGGGTAAGGTTCTCTATGGGTAAGGAGTATATGCTATATAAGGACTATAGTAATGTTAAAATACCGACAAGACTTTTCAGACATTGCTCTGGTATTTAAATTTTAGCTTCCAAAAGTCTCCACAAAATACCCATTAAAAGCTTTTTGGTTTTGTTTTTTAATGCCTTAACTACCAAAAGGCAAATCAATTTCAAATCTTCCTTATCCATATTCGTGGACAGCCCAGGAGTGTCACATGCAAAACATTATGTAGTGAATGGTTTAATGACTGAGTGTTAAAATAATGAAACATTGTTGAGCCAGAGGCACTGGAGCAAACAATCCAATGAGAATGTCTGTAATAAGGATCTCTTGTCTGTAGATGGAGCCTACAGGTGCTTAGCCTTCATATCAGCTTTCGGTTACAATTCACCTGCTAAAAAGCCCAATCTCTCAGAACCTGCCAAACGGGGAGACCCTAATCAGCTTCTACTATGTAAATGTATTACAGCAAAAATGGTTAATAGAGAAAATGTATATATCTTTCTAATACCTTACAAAGTGTTTTCTTTAAAGTACATAATATGGAAAAGCAATGTGTTTTAATGTGATAAGTAAAAGGATATCAGGAGCTGGCTTTCTTCTCTTATCAGGAATTGGCACTGGATCATTGGGCCGCCGTCGCAGTTTTCGAGTCATAATAGGCTTGACTTCCATGGAATCTGCAAAGTGAGACACTTTAATGGAACCACTTAACCTAAAGTTTTACCAAAGAACAATTACGAACCTTCACAATAACAGAAGCTTAAAGAGATGTTGTCATTAAACACTTTTCAGTCTTCTTACATTAATATTTTTACAATTAACACTTACTGCAATTACTGCTAGCACAGCAATTCATTATGCCTTATGTGAGTAACAGCAATGTAGTTTTCTTCAACCTCTGACACCTCCCTACCCTCTCCCAGCCCACAACGGTGCCCAGCTGCCACCTTCTAAGCCTCCAGCATTGTGTGCTTGAGTTTTCGCTGCCTGTGTCAAGGATTGCAACTTATTGCTGTTACTGACTATATGCAGACAATCTTCCATACACAGCTTCAGACATTAGAAGCTTCACAGGGCACTTTGGTGATGCCAGATCCCTACAACAGAAAGACTCTGGACACACCTAACAGTGTCAGAGGGTAAAAACTACAGGGCTTTTACGAACAGAAGGCATAATGATTTATTATAGCGAGGCCAGCATCAGTAAGTGCTAATTTCATACATTTTATGTATGTGAACAGCCTGAAATGGGAGACCTGATGGCAGCGTCTTTAAATGCACGTAAAATAGAATGTGAAATCATTCTGTGATCCCAAGTAACACACATTGGAAAAATATCCCCTCACTTCCTGTTGGGTTTACCGGACAGGACAGGAAGGGAAATCCCCCTAGCGAGACACAAATGGCAAAAAAGAAAATGGACAGCAGTTTTAGCTCTCCCCTACTCTATCTAAAATGAAATATACTTTAAAAGGGGTATACATGTGCAAAAACTGAAGTGGTTAAAGAAGAAGTCCAGGAAAAGGTTTTTGTTAACCCTTACAGTGGGGCTACCCCCACACTACAAGGGTTAACTGCTCCTTTTTGTCTAGCATAAAAAAAATAAAGTTATACTCACCCAATGCTCCGAGCTGGCTTGTTCGTAGATAGGTCTCTTGAGCCTCTCTCCCCCTCCTCTGCAGCGGTCTAAGGTCCAGTAAATAATCACGTCTATACACTGCATATAGACGTGGGGATGCTGAGGAAGATAACAATGCTGCAGCTTAGATGGAGACAGGCTAGAGGAAACGTTGTGACAGCTGGCTGACTAGGAGCATCAGGTAAGTATAACTTTATTTTTGAACCTAGGCAAAAACCGGTACTTAACCCTTGCAGGGTGGGTGTAGCCCCGCTGCAAGGGGTAAGAAAAAGTTTTCCTGAAATTCTTCTTTAAAGTAGATCCATCATTAAAAATGACAACCCCCTAAATCAAGAGCATATTAGCATTTATATAAATATTAGCATTTCCAAATTACATTTAAAAATAAAAAAAAAAAGAATTCCTTCCGTACCTTTAAAAGAAGGGTGTTCCAAAACAACTTTAATAGTCCAATAAGGCTATAAGAGGTAAAGGAGATGAAGGGGTGTGGGCTGTGCAACTGTGTCTCTCTTATGGCAGGTTTACTTTCAAGGAAACTATAATGGTATTAGGTAATTAGGCTTCTAATGTGTTTAACTGTTGTTTTAGAATTGGTTTTTATTATATTTATATAATCTTTGTTTCACAAGTTAAAAAATACATGACAAATGTTCCTAGAGAGCCATGGGTTAACTCAAAATACAGCAGGGCAGAAGAACAGGGGGTACGCAAGATGAAGAAAACATGCAAAGGATCTTAAAGGTTCACCTGCTTGCTAGATGGCAGACTACATGCTGTTCATAAAGTACGTAATATTTAACCGACTAAAAAAAGAAATATTTTTTTTTATTATAATAAATTATGTGGTTTTCTAATGCTTATTTATTTTAGTTTTTCTACACCCTTTAATATGTCTATTTTAGTACTGACCATAATAAAGAAAGAAAACATATCATACATTTCTACACATTCCCATAATACTTCTCACAATTTATTTCCATTTTTTGTATCAAACTTGGAAGCTTGCACAATCACACTGCAAAGGTGTAGCCAGAGTAACACTGTGTTCCAAGCAGATTTTAAGTTTACACTGCTCCTACCTCCTGTCAATTCCATTGTTAGCTTCTCGTTTTCTATCATTTTCTTCTTTTCCTCCAGTTCTGCAATTAGATTTTCCTTCAGTTCAATCTTCTTATCCTCAAACTCTTTGACAGCTGCCTTTTTCTCCTTGATGTAGTTCCTTTCCACTTGTTCTGTCTGTAAATTAAAATTCAAGACTTTTTGCTTCTCTGTAAACCAAGAAAGGGTCAGTCCACTAAAAAGTGATATTTTAGCTAAAGGTAAAACCTCGTAGATAGCCCTGGCTTCCTATATGTCTTGGAACCTAAAACAGCTAAACTTCCCTGAGGGACGCAGGCCGCAACAGTTTCTGTCAGAGAATCAGTAAAACATTGTAGTGTCCAACTTACACCAGCTAGTGACTCTTTCATCCCTCCCCCTAAAACGCTGATCTTTATTTTAAAGCATTAAAAAAATGCAAACGCAACATCTTATAACCATATACTCCTAAACCTAATGATGGAACATATGGACCAGGAACAATAAAGTTTTACTGAACCTGCTCCACGGTGTCTATTCATTCTGGAGCAGTACCACCTTTGAACTTGATCTAGATCTTCTACCTCTGCTCCACCCGAGAATTTTGAGCATTTCCTGCCCCATCGCTGTGTGTTCCTGAACTTCCGGTTTCATTTTCCATAATACAAAAGAAATCTATTAGGCAGAGTGGACATCTCTCAATGTCCACAACAGTTCTGCAGATCTAGAAACAGGGTAAGTGTTGGGGTGTTTTTCCCCATAGTTTTGTTTAGGGTCACGGGGGGACATATATTGACCTCCTCCCATGACTCAAAGCTTAGTATATATCGTGGGCAATTGATCGCTATGTACTGAGAACGCCGCAGCCGGGGTAGATCCCGACAATACTGTCTAGATCCACCCAGCTGCGTGAGTGACAGCTGGCTCTGCCTATCTAGAAGCAGAGCCAACTGTGTCCGCCCACTCCCCCATTCGTTCCTCCACTCAGCACTGGAGGATCGGAGTGGGGAGGGGGGAATCCCTGCAGGGAGACTGACAGTCACCGCTCCCTGCAGGGAGACGATCTGGGAGTGAGCGGATTGGTGCATGTTTCTGCTCACTTCCCGATCTATAGAGCTGACCTGTGACAGTTTCATTGTCACACGTCGGCTATAACTATGAGGATGACTGGAAATCACTCATCTTATAGTTCTATTGTAACTCTTCAGCATCTGCCAAAAAGCTGAAATATGATTTTTGGATGAATTGATTCTAAAAGGGAAAAATACCCACAATGTGGGAGTAACATGTTGTAAATAAAAAAAATTTTTTTAAAACCCCACCATAATATGAATAGTAGGCAAGTCAATTCTTGTGTTCTGTTTAGTGCTGCACTAGATCAATCGATTGTTAACTGGATGAAAAGTATCTCAGGGCTCAATAACATTCTCTAAACTGTTTTAACATGCTATTATTTAGAAGCTGAAACCTCTTCATCTTTTATTGCTTTTCATAATCTATGTATGATACATGACTGCATGTCTGTCTAATTACTTTATATTGCAATGCTAATCAGGAAAGAGTTTGGCCTTACAACAATGGGACAGAGGGCTCCCCATAGAGATCCCAGGCTACTTTGTGTCCCTACTATTTAGCCTTTTATATGGAGAAATCGATAGCGGTTTTTAAGTATCGAGTACCAATATTTATCATTCGGTACTCGCCGATATCAAGTACTGGTACTTCCGCTTTTCACATGTAGGCGCACCCGACGCATATCTGCGTGTGTATGTGGGGGGCGGGGGACTTAAAATTGTTTTTTCTTTAATTTTTTTTATGATTCTTTTCATTTTTGTATTACTTTTTTTTTTTTTACACACAACTTTATTGCTATTAAAGCCCTGCCAATTACGGATACCTTAATTTTGAGTGTCATGTATATGTACTGTATATGTAACAGTTGTTCTAAAAAAAATACAGACTAACGATTTTAGGACAGTGGTGGAGCGCAAGTGCCTAGTCCCAGCTGCAACTGGTGCGACCCTGAGAGCTCTGCCACTAAAAATCCCAGCAATACATTATACAACAATGCAGAATACCATCAGCTATAGAGACCTGCAAATCCCAGCAACAGATTATACAGCAATGCCACAGGGTCTCACCAGGGCTCCGTGCCGGTCCCACCATGGCTGCTCGGGTGGGTGCGGGCGGCGGGAAGGAGATGGAGGCAATGTGCAGCCGGACCAGCACTGTAAAAAGACAGCTGCTGTGAGGTCCCCAGCAAGTGCGGGACCTCAAGCAGCCGATAGTTTAAAAATATAAAGCGCCGGTATCGTTGCTTAGTATCGGGGAAAGTACTCGAGAAAACAGTATTGGCACTGATACTGGTATCTGTGCATCCCTAGTGGATACGCTGTCAGACCTTGAAAAAGTATGTTTACAAAAGGGACATGAATGTGTATGTTCTCAAAGAGCGGGAAAGAGTTAGGCATTACTCCAATTGAAAAGTCAAACAACTGGTGTTGGTGCATGTATCTTCTATTAGTTCTAAAATGTAGGATACTTGCTACAGATTGTATTCCAGGATAGTACCAGCTTGCTTAGCAATTATGTATCAGGGCATCTCCAAGGGTTGCTGGAGGAAATGTGGGCATAGGGGGACATTTGTTCACTTTTGGTGGAAATGTCCTATAATAAAGCCCTTCTTGTCCAAGGTGTCCAATATTTTGGAACAACACTAGCAAACCTTATATTCCATTGCCCATGTTATTTCATGAAACACCTACATCTATACAGTTAGCTAGGAGATCCCTAGTACCTCATCTTCTGAATCTGGTCCTGAGTCCCTCATACCACATTTAAGGAAAACCAATAGGGCTCCAATTACATAACGATACAAAGTCAATGGAAAATGAACAGCAGACAACTCAAAGACCAATATCACGTAGGTAGTTGTAAAATATGCTGGTCACACATTCTGAAGGGCATATTCTTTGTTAGCATGGCCTAACGTGTTTACTTTGGCTTTTATGACATGCAAAATGATGTGCATGTCCACTTGAGGTTGTTTTGTAAACGCTTGTACTGTTTATTTCCCTGCCATATATACAGAAATACAACCAAGGGAGCTATTTTAAACAAATTGTTTACTTCATATTGCATCTACATTTAAAAGTAAGCAAAGCTTGTGGTGTCCTTCAGAGTGTTCTTTGCATAACTCTACTTCAAGGTAATGTTTGATTGTGTGTGTTGCTTTAAAAAAAAAAAAATCAATTACAGCAGAGTGCTTGGGTCTGCTCTTACCAGCATTTCTTAGTCTCTCCTTGTACTGCTGGTCTAATTTTTTCAAGCGCTTCTGATATTCTTGCAAAGTCCCTGTTAAAGCACAACAGAAAAAAAGAAATGAGACATTTACTTCATAGAACATATTTATTCCAATGGTTTTAATAATGCCCCCAAAGTGGGCACACAGAGGACTGGTAATACCAAATGCCTTACATGCGCTGAATGATTCACCTGCATGTTAAACATATGAAAAAAAAAAAAAAATCTCTTGTTGGAGTGGGTCCAACCCATGTATGAATGTAACCATCATCCAATGTATTTTACTGGATTAAGGCTTACCATACAATACAATTGTATAATCTCTTTTAGATCTATCTATGCAATGCAGTCCAAAAACTTGGGACAGACAGTCACCAATGCACCCTGTATTCACCATAGGTGTCATTCAACCCAAAAGACTAAAGAACAGACTGAGTGCAGGGTGTCATGGGCCTGCCCCCATTACTATGGTACACTGCACTTAGCTCCCATTCACACCTAGGCGTACCGGGAATGCGCAACATGTTCTTACATGTTTTGCTCCTGTGTTTGAAGTGTATCCCCATTGGTTTTAATGGGTTCCCACATCTATCCCACATATTTTCTATGTCTTAAGGAGTGAATTTCTTAAAACAGAAAAGTAGTATGTTTAGCAAAATCTGAGAAAGGTTTTCCCCGTTTTCTCCTCCGCGTTTGAACGCAAAAACTTGTGTTTGCCTGGACGTGGGGTGTCTGGTTATGGCACAGCAGGCGCTTTTCACATTTTTGGCACATCTTCACGAAATGCTCAGGTGTGAATGGGGACTTACTGTGCAATGGTGCAGAATGTGGCTCTGACATAATTAGTGGGGATGGCCCAGTGTTGAAGAGGATCCCGTGGCATTAAGTGACCAGCCTAAAGATTTGCTAAAAAGGTAAGTGTGCCTGGTGTTGGCTGTAATGTTGAAGCTCTGAAAACAGAGCTTTCCTTGCAAATGAAAAGCTACTATCACACAGGCCAGATTCAGAGTCCCTAAAATTAAAAAAAACTTTGCATTTCTGTCCACCTCCTCCACTACGGCTAAACTTACATAGAACATGAGATGTTCTTATTGCATCATGGCAGTATAGGGTTCTTGGTTCACCCCTGCTCAGCTATGGCATGCAGAAGAGTAGTGGCCATGCATTGACTTTTTTTCTCAAGCTTTTTTTACATGGATTGTGGGGGCACAATCCATGTAAACAAGGCAAGTAAATGAGGATCCAACTGTTTTTGTGAGAGAGTTGTGGGATAGTGGTACCCTCTGTGTTATTACATACATACTGTATGTCAGAAGCAAGACATATATTTTTCACTTAGGACCCTTTCACACCGTAAAAACTACAGCATCACAAAAACCCAATGGTGTTCAAGTAAATTAACATTCTTGTAGGATGCCCATAACTGCACACTAAGAAATCCAAGCCAAACTGTTGAAAGCAGCCGCTTAGAAGTGAAGCTGTGAATATACCTAAGCAACCACAATAAAGCATAAAAGGATATGCACTACTACCACTGACATTAAGTTAAAAGGTGCTGATGGCACAAAAAAAACAAGCCTGAAAGTAAATAGTAAATCAATAAAATCTGTCTGAATAAGGTGCTAGCAAAAATAAATGCACATAGGAGCATACAGTTAAATGAGACGTATGGAGAGAGTAAAAAAAACTCTTTGCAATAATTAGAATCAGCGTGTCACATGCCGAGTCAATATATCGAGAGCCGAGCCATAATGTAACTGGTGCCCTCCCTGCAGAGAGCAGTGAATGTTAGTTACCACTCCCTGCAGGAATCCCCACCTTCCCCCCTCTGTTCCTCCAGCGTTCATTGGAGGGACAGACAAGGGAGGCTCTAGAGAGGCAGAGACAGCTGTAAATCAGGCAGCAGGGTGGATCCCATGAATATATATTCGGGATCCATTCCGGCTGCAGCGTGGTTCTGTGCCGTTTCAGGAGTAAATAAAAAGAACTCATGTGATCCAAAAGGGAAGTGTAAAGCCAAGTGACACTAAACTCATTAGATCTTAAAAATGTATACAAGTACCTTACCTATAAACAAAAATGTATCTTATTTGTGTATCACTCGGCTGTAGATCCTCAAATCATTTCTGAATTGGTGCCGACACTGTCCTTCCTTCTGGAGTGTGGCTACTTTTGTTCCCCATGGTCCCTGTGTGTGTTGTAAAGTGTCCACCACTCCAAGGATTTTTTTTTCCTCATGGTCCCTCCAAGCTCGCTCCCGTGAAGGGCTACAATCTCATGTTTAGTTTACTCCTTTGTATTGAGATTGTAGTCCATCACAGGAATGAGCTTGGAGCGGTGGCTTCTTTACAACACACACAGGGACCATGGGGATTCTACAATCTCAATACAAATTAGTAAACTAAATGTGAGATTTTAGTCCATCACAGGAGTGAGTTTGGAGTGGTGGACACTTTACAACACACACAGGGACCAAGGGGAACAAAAGTAGCCACCCTCCAGAAGAAAGGACAGTGTCAGCACCAATTCAGAGATGATTTGAGGATCTACAGCCGAATGATACACAAATAAGATACATTTATGTTAGTTAAGGTACTTGAATACATTTTAAAGATTTACAATGTGGTTTTCTTTTTAATCTTTGAGTCACATTTTTCTATACAAATACTGAGAAGGTTGTCCAATAAACTGTACAGTTCTAAATAGGAGAAATGGCATGACATCATACAGAAAACACGCCAAGGGTTAAAACTTTGATACATGTCTGGGAACAAGCAAACGTGTATAATCTTATTACATTTTGCAATTATGCCAAGCAGAAATTTCAGTGCACTCAGATCATTATAGCCAAAAATAGACATGCTGTAATGTGTAACTTGGTCCTTTTTCACTTTTTAGCAACATTTGATTCTTTCCTATTTCTGCATCACCGGAGAAATACATTATTTGAGCCCTGTATGACAACAGCTGCTTGGTTTTACAGACTTTTTTTTTCTGTCATTACCCTTGTATAAAGGAGAAGTTACAATTGTGAAGATTTCTGAACTCTCAGCCTAAACCTCACACAATGCAGGACACTAGGGACTTTAATAAAACCATTGCGTTAGCCAATACAGCCTTTTCATTAGCAAATTAAATCATTATAACAGAAACTAGATGCATTTGTTGCATGGTGATTTTACAGGCACATAAAAATGAATTAAAGAATGAATGCTGGTCAATAGCAGAACACATACAAAAAAAGAATATATAAATATACAGCTCAGCTGAATGCAATCTAAAGTACTGTACTTTTCAGATATATGAGGTAGAGGTGAAGAAAGGGAATAAGGACAGGCTGGAGTAAAAACTGGTCAGAACTGTTGGCTATGCATCGACATAACAAGCTATGTAAAAGCATTACGAGTTAACAAGGATACCTCCCTTTCCTTCAAAATAAAGAGCAGATATTACGCAGTCCAGATTCCAAGTCCTTAAATAAACTTTGTATTTCTGACTTCCTCCTCCACTATGGCTAAACTTACATAGAACACAAGATGATTCTATTACATCATGGGAGTAGAATGTTCCTGATTTGGGACTTGACATCTATGTCCTCTCCATTGCTGAAACCCTGAATTTCCTCTTCCGGGCCTTTATATGATACTTTTTCTTGGACGCCTGTTGGACACCTTTACGGACAAATTGTCTACAACTATTGGAAACTTTTTTTTTTTTTAAACAGTCTCTGGCTACATTTATGGACTAACATCCAACTTTGTTGTGAACATTCTTGGGTTGTATTTATAAGTGTAGCTTTTAACCTATGAGCTTTCCTAGGGGTCCCAACCAACCCTCTAATTATTTCATACAAGAATGATCTAGATCTGGCTGCAATTGCCTTCACCATACTGCTTAGAGTCTGTTTTTAGCCTGAGGTCTTTATGTGCTATACTTGTTATAATCCATCTAAGAGCAACTACAGTCCTCATAGGCGCCTTGTTAGTTCAGCCTTCTTTTAAGTGTGCCTGCTCTTGCCCAGGTTTCCACACTGACACCACCATTAACTATACATATACTGATGCTTTTATAAAACATACTGTACCTATATTATCCTCCTAAAGAAGCAGATTCCGCATCCGAAAAACGCAGATAGAGTCCTTTCTATCTCATCACCTCTGAGGCATTACTTTGTTAAACTATACAATTTAACAAAGATGCGTTGTACATGAAATTATGTAAAAACATACAGTATATAGTTAGGAGGTGATGGGTGAGGTTATGTGTATGGAGGCTTTAGGGTAAAGAAATGCAGAGTTGTTGTCATGGCATTTTAATTACATTTAGGGATTACTAATAATATATATGATTTAAATTACATTATCTCATTGTGGGTTCACACAAATATGGTTGCATATTTAGGGATTTGGTACTCCAATAAGTCTAGCCTTAGACAGACCATGGGTAGTCCTGTTGGCAGCCTCACATCCCACATCTTTCAATCTGAAAAATCGAAGGAGATGGGTGGAAAGTGACTGTATCCAATCAGCTGCAGTCCCTGTGGGGGGCATTCTGACAGTGGCACACAGCAGGGGGAGCTTCCTTCATCCACACTGTTTAGGCTGGATAAGGAAATGTAGATTTTTTTTTCATTCAGCTCAAAAGTGTATAGCCAGCTTAAGTCATCAACCTGGTATTACAGTATACATGTACAGTATGCATCAACAGAACAAGCTATGCATAACAAGTTAACACCAATGTGCATGTCTCTTCTGCCATAAATCCCTACCTCCCAGTGATTCCCTCCCCCCCCTTTGCTTCCGCTTTAACATAAATGCTGTCATTCTGAAACAGCCAAAAGTGAAGGCTTTGCAAAAATTTCTTACCTTCCTGAAGCTGCTGCAGCTGTCGTTTCAGAGAAGCCAACTTGTCTTGGTACATCCTAAAGAGACGCAATATAGCTAGTCAAATAGTGAATACAATCATTGCTTGGTGAAGGTACATTTAGATAAAAGATGTGAACTGTAGTGCGGCCTCTTGCGTTTCTAAACAGATCAATACATAAAGACAACTCCATTTGTACAGAATAGTACATATAAAATAAAGGAAGCCCAGATCTGCATGGTATCTCTGGTTTTAAAGAATAACTGAATGTCTACAGAAGAATGCGGCTTCCAGTTCTCCGCATTAGAGTGACACTAAGGCTGGGTTCACACTTGGGCGTTTGTAATATGCGCGTTTGACGCGCATTTCAGGCCACGCGTTTTTACCGTGATTTGCTGTCAACAAAACACGCGTTTACAAGGGCTATCCAGTTGTATCCTAATGAATACGCGCGGAAAATATGCCCCAAAGAAGCTCCTGTACTTCTTTGGGCGTAGGGTGTTTTTCAGCGCGTTCCTACTCGCTGAAATACGCCAAGGTGGGAACTATGCCCATAGGAAATTATGGGATTTCACTTGCTGGGTGTTTTACAGAGCGCCGATCAGCGCTGTAAAACGCCCAGGTGTGAACCAGGGCTAAACTCAGGAGTTAAATGTTGAAAATGCATTCAAGTACCTTACCTAAAAATGTATCTTATTTGTGTATCACTCGGCTGGAGATCCTCAAATCATCTCTAAATTCATGCCGACACTGTCCTTCCTTCTGGAGGGTGCATACTTTTGTTCCCCATGGTCCGTGTGTGTGTGTTGTAGAGTAGTTACCTCTCCAAGCTCACTCCCGGGATGGACTACAATCTCATGTTTAGTTTACTAATTTGTATTGAGGTTGTAGTTCATCATGGGAGCGAACTTGGATCTGGTTATTCAAGAACCGCACAAAACTCACTTAGTGGGTGGCCCCGTCTGCCGCCTCACGCCCTACAACTTTCGACTGAAAAATTCGAAGGTGAGCGGAAAATTGTCAACCAAACAGTGCCTGCATCCAATCAGATGCAAGTATGGTTTGGGTCTTTTGACAGCTGGCGGGGCCAACTGTCAAAATACAATAGTCGCAGCGGGAGAATTCTCAATACACTCTTGATTAGCATGGATAGAGGTATCTGTCAGATTTTAATAATTCAGCCCAAAGGATAATTGAGAAATATCTAGTAGTGTATAACTAGTTACTTCCTTAAGGATATTCATGGTCAAAAAATAAATCTGTATTTCTATACTGAATTTTCATAAGTTCTATGCCCCTCCTAATAACTATATTCATCTAGAAGTTTGTAAACGTATTGAAAATGTCCATAAGATGTACTTCCTCTATGCACTTGACACAATTTCACTAAGTGCTTGGAAGATGCACTTCCTTGTGTCACAAATCACAGAGCTACCTTCTGATCTCAAGGTCTGAACAATTTATCATTATCATTGCTTGCTGGAAGCAATGCATGATGGGATATGAAGTCTTGAGACACAAAAGCACACTGAGAATTTAGAAAGTTGATGAAAGTGATGGGCAGACAGAAGCAGCACTCGCTACATAAAAGGGAATTTTCCAAGTCAGCTTTGATTGTATTATAAAAAACAACTCTGGTATGTATACCTAGTACAATGGTGATGTTATAACAGGATAGTATATGCTGGGGCTTTAGAACTTGCCTTGTCACTCTGCCTAACACCGCATAAGCCAAGCACAGTATATTTCTCCTCCAGATATCTTTAACAAGATGCTCACTGCAAAGATACACACATGCTACATCTAACCCACCATTCTGTACATGCCTCCTCCCTGCGACTGTCCTCACCAAAACAATAGGCTGCGAGTCTGGTACTTACTGTTCTTTCATTTCCACATAATCCACATTGTCATGCTTCGCCAGGTCCGTCTCACTGGCATCTTCAGTGTCTTCACAGGAGACAAAAACAATATAGTGATTAGTCACTGCAAAATAAGACCTATAGAGATTTACAAATGCACACAATGTTTATAAAGAGCAATTAGAACTAATAGGATAAATGAACAAAGCAAATCAGATTTTTGCAAAGCTGCTACAAGGACAAAATAATGTTTTAACACATCTCAGAAAACGCAATGTGCACATAGCTATGTCCCTGCATTGCCTGACATGTACACAACACCTTAAAGTATATCTATACCCAAAACTTGGATGAAGTGGAGAAGGATTAACCCCTTCATGACTGAGGCCCTTTTTTCATTTTTTGCACCCATGTTATATTCCACATATATAGATGGTTGCACTTTTTCCATCTGACTATAGAAAATCTACAGATAGATTCCTCCATCTACACTAAACTGTGTGTATGGAGGAATCTCCCGCTGGGCTAAGCTTCCGTATCTTGCTAGTCGGCCCTGCTGGCTGTCAAAACACCTGAACAATCTGATTGGATGCAGGCATTGTTCAGGTGTTTTGAGGGCTGGCTAACAAGATACTGAAGCTTGGCCCAGCGGGAGATTCCTCCATCCACACAGTTTCGTGTAGATGGAGGAATCTGTTGCACTTTTTCCATCTGACCATAGAAAATCTGCAGATAATCTATAGGTGTATGGCCAGCTTTAGAATTCCTGTCAAGTTTTCATGTCGTCAGAGGCTCTGTTGGAGAGATTCCTTCAATTCCTGACTGGTAAAAAGGCTGTCCACAGGTCAAGAATGGAGTGGAAGTCTCTTACAAAGTTAAGTATAGAAAAGCTAGAACCTCTGAGAGTTCGGATGATCAGGTGGCTCTACAGATGCCCAAATGACATTTATTAAATCGCCCCAAGCCTGCCATCAGACAAAGCAACAAGCTCACGGATGCACTATTTTAAAGCCATGATGTACAGGTTATGTCCTGCACAGGTCAACTGGTTAAAGTGACACTAAACCTTAAAAATGAATTCATGTTCCTTAACTATTAACAACAATGTATCTTATTTGTGTATCATTCGGCTGTAGCTCCTCAAATCATCTCTGAATTGGTGGTGACACTGTCCTTCCTTCTGGAGGGTGGCTACTTTTGTTCCTGTGTGTGTTGTAAAGTAGCCACTGCTCCAAGCACCCCAAGTACTATAATGATCAAATTTCAAGAGTTCCTAGTCATGTCAGGCACTAGCCTACCTTACTACGACATGTTTTCACTTGTCTATCCATGACAACAGCAATCAAAAGAAGGAGTGAGATTTTCTAGTACCCTGTATGTCAGGGCACCAGAGGTGCTGAATAAAGCAAGTCTGTTCAGGCAGCATTCAGAGCCAGCGCTACAGTTCTGGAGCCTGATCAGTATCATTATGGCAAGGTGCAGCACACCTGTGTTACCTACATCATCATTATCATCACTTCATGTTTCTGGAGTAAAATCCTTGAAAAACTATTGTGTGGTTCTTAGAATACTTGCATCTGGTTTACACTGTGAATGGACCTTTATGTATCTTTTGCTTAAAAGGAGAATTATGAGGCGAGTGCTTTTTACTCAGCCTCATAATCTGAGCCAACCTGTGACAATGAAACTGTCACAGGTCGGCTCAGTAGATCGGGAAGTGAGCGAACACATACCGGCGCTCGCTCACTTCTCGATCTATCCGTGCAGAGAGCAGTGACTGTCACTCACGGCTCCCTGCAGGGATTTCACCCCCCCTCCCCTGTCCGATCCTCCAGCGCTGACTGGCGGAACGGACGGGGGGGGCTTACAGCTGGCTCTGCCTCTAAATAGGCAGAGCCAGCTGTCCCTCACGCAGCTGGGTGGATCCAGACAGCATTGTTGGGATGCGTTCCAGCTACAGCATCTCAGTATAACGCGAGCTACAGCTGAGCTTTGGGTCACGGGAGGACGCTAGTTTGTGTCCTCCCGTTACCCTTAGAACTATGCGGAAAACACTGACCCCCATAGTTCTCCTTTAATTAATCTTCATGGTCTGACGAGAGATGTGGAAAGAGAATATGATTTACCTACATACCTGTATAATTGCACTGAGAGTCCATTCACAACTGGAGCTTCGTTATTGGATGTGCATACACACACTTGTGCATCGTGACACATTGTGGTAAAGCAACCCATTCATTTAGAAAGTGCTGCCAATGCACCGCGGCACACACAAAGAATAAGTATCTGTCCCAGCAATGCACCGCAACACACATTGGGGTCTATCTATACAAACATTTGCATACATGTTCGCCCAGTAAAACTGCTTGTACATTTGTTGTGTGTGAACTAACAAGATGTTGTGAGAAGTGGGCAAAATGAAATGTTCTTCGAACGTATCTAAACCCAAGAACAAAAATGCAAAACATTGCAGCTTACCAATCCTTAGATGCGGTGGCTGCATTCGTTATCTTTTTTCCTTTATTTTCACCTGCTGATCCGACCAGTAAGTCTGTTATTTTTCAGCTTCTTTTAACAGACCAAACCGTCCAGCAAAAGTGTCAGATAAAGAATTGAGACAAACCATTTACCACCGACAGGGGTGCTTACAATCATTAATGTATAAGCTTTATCCCAAAGGGAAAAAATCAACTGCGGCTGTAACGGCCTAAAAGGTGATATCTGGAGTTTGGACACCACGTGGTGCTGCGGCGAGGGTAACAGCAATCCACGGGGAGGGAACCATTTTAACCCCTTCGTGACGGGAGACGTACACTGTACGTCCAGCCACAAAGGGACCAAATGACTTGTCACGTACACTGTACGTGACGAGTTATTTGCTGCTTTAGAGGGCTGTTAATCGCTGAGAATCAGCTTTTAACATTCATTAATGGATGCCCTTACTACAGAGGCATTCATTAATGAAAGGGTTAACCTTTTTCAGACACCCGATACCTTAATATCGGGTGTCTGAGAGTCAAAGCAAAGCGGACACAGATGCCGGCTTTTGCCGGCATTCTGACAGCTCGTATAGATCGAGAGATATCTCTCTCAAGCTATACTGGTTTTTTTTTTTTCTTTCATGAATAGATACAAAATGTGTCTATTCCTACAATGTATCTATTCCTGGAAGAAGAATGTTTGTTTGCTGATCGTTGTTGCAACAATCAGAAAACATTTAGTAACAGCTGAATCCTGAACTGCTGCAGGATCAGTGTCACTAACTTATTATCGGCTGTTCTGAAGTTTGAAGCAGCCTGATAATAACCAAAAATTTATTAATTTATCATGCAGTAACAGTGAGATTAATTCACAAAATCTGCTTGATATAATTAAATAAATAAAATAACATTTTTAAGTTTAAAAAAAAAGTGAAAAGTGTAAAAAAAAAAAAAAATTGTGAAAAGTGTAAAAAAAATAAAAAAATGTGTAAAAAATAAAATAAAATAAGGGACAAATAAATGAATGTATTTATTCCTTTTTTTTAGCTGTGCTGGTTTTGTAAAAAAAATACTACAAATCAAAACTGGGAAAAAAGTGTTTTTTTTAAACGGTTTTTTCCTCTTTTTTTATATTTTATTTGTCCTAAGTGAGGCGTTAGACGCACATATGTGATATAAATATGTAGCCCTATCTGTCCTCTAAAAAACAATATATAATATGTGTGGGTGCACTTTGTAAGAAAGTATATTACTGACGTGGAAGAATCACACAGCAAAAATGTCAAAAGTGTGTCAGTCATTTACGAACAGAAACTAAAAACAAGCTCAGTCATGAAGGGGTTAAGGTAAGGACATGTTTGCCACTGCAGTTCCCCAACCAACAAGGGGGTGCTCCGCCGCCACTCAGGACCTGCCACACATTCCAACCCGGGGGGGTCACCGTCTGGAGCCACTCACGTCAGGAGGATTGTTTCCCTCCCTGAGCGACGGAGGGGAACCTTGGCCACATCGTATGGGGGTCCGATAGGGAAAAAACCCTGTATGCGCCGCAGCAGTCTATGCCCGGAGGTGGTCCCAACACATTCAGGGTTAGGCTCTGCTCTAAGGCAATACACAATGAGCCCAGAAAACAACAAACATTACGATGTCCCTGTGTAGCCGGAGGAAACACAAAAAAACTGAATTGGGATGGAAGGAGGAGTCTTTTTATTTAATGTGGTTGATGTGTTTCCCGTTGCAGGCAGGCAGAGCCTATCTCTCATTGGCTGTCCTGGAAGATGACTGGGGGAATTTTTGTTAGTCAAATCCATCTCAAATTATCAAAACTGGAGCAGACAGAATCTGGAGCAGTTGCCCATGGCAACCAATCAGCTTCTCTCTTTAGTAGAAAATGTGAGCTGGAAGCTCCAGATTCTATCTGCTCCAGTTTTGATAAATGTCTCCCAATGAATGTACATGCAGTTTCACTAGACAAATAGCTATGCAAATGTTTTATAAATAGACCCCATAGTATGCGCTATCACACAGGTGTGGTTTTCTTTATCGTACATGTGCATTGGCTTGATATTCAGGATGAATGGCACAGCAATGGCCATATACCTCTGCAGTGACATGCATTTGCAGTCCACAATGCGAGTTTGAATGAGCCTAAAGCTGGCCATACACCTATAGATTTTCTGCAGATTTTCTATGGTCAGATGGAAAAAGTGCAACAGATTCCCCCATCTACGCTAAAGTGTGTGGATGGAGGAATCTCCCACTGGGCCAAGCTTCAGTAACTTGCTAGTCGGCCCCTAAAACACCTGAACAATGCCTGCATCCAATCAGATTTTTCAGGTATTTTGACTAGCAAGATACAGAAGCTTGGCCCAGCGGGAGATTCCTCCATCCGCACAGTTTAGTGTAGATGGAGGAATCTATTGCAAATTTTCCATCCGACTATAGAAAATCTGCAGATAATCTATAGGTGTATGGCCAGCTTTAGGCCACACAGACACCAGAGGCGTGTTCAGTTCTTTAGCCTATCTCTGAGCAGCTGTTCTGGAGCACTTCAGTTCGCTGCAGCAGCTTCATTGAATGCTTCGGCTGCACAGTGCTCAACAAAATGGCGGAGGATAATATTTATGACTAATAAATACCATTTTCCAAGTAATATTTGTTGTGCCCATCAACCAAAACATTAAATTGTAGGTTCCCACACTGAACTGATTTCCTCCATCGGGGTTCAGGCACCTTTCTCCAGCACTGCCAGGTGTGCCCACAATTAAAATGGCCACTGGTGCTCTGTCCTCACCATCTCTGTCACACGTAGCGCTCTGCATCCACATTCACTTCGGCTGAGAGTGCTAAGTTAGCAATGTTGAGCGCTTACTTGCAGCACAGCGTTCAGCGGCGGTTTGCTAACTCAGCACTCACAGCAGCTGACATACTGAACACGCCTCGGATGTAGAAGCTGAGTGTCCACTTGGAATGTTGAGGAATCCATGGAAGTCTACTGGGTGGTGCCAATGGAACACTGGGTGCAACTTTCCAACCAGCACAACACAAACTGCAGCTCAATGGATATGAAAGCATAGTCTCACTCCCCAGCTTGGCTGAGAGCTGCTTGGCAGGTGTCAGGAACCGCCTGTTAACCCTGTAGACCAGGAGTAGGCAACGTAGGCACTCCATCTACCATGAAACTACAAATCCCATCTTCTTCTGCCTCTGGTTGTAATGCCTGTGCCTGTCAAGAGTATTGCAATGATTCATGGGATTTGTAGTTCCACAACAGCTTCCATGCTGAGGTTGCCTACCTCTCCTGCCCTAGAGAATAAACCTTATGGGCATTGCCATCTTAGAAAGTTGGGAAGTCAAATGCAGCTGCATGGTCACCGATGGAGCCCACACATGACAGATGGGAGTACGTACGTTACGTCACTTCCCCAAAGCTCTGACATGTTTTTGAAGCAGAGTGTAAACAAAGCCTTCAGCATCTCTCACCCTCATCAGACTCCCGGCCCCGGAAACTACGGTCATCTTCCTCCTCCGCGCTCTCCAAATCTTCCTCTTCATAGTAATCAGTAGCTGCAGCAGCGGCCGGAGACATCACACCGACCGAGCTCATTGTTCGGAATGTGTACCCAACAAACAGCCGCTATATCACCAGCCAGAGGCCGGCGATCTCTCTGCTACAACCCCAATTGGCCACACTAGGCACCCTCGGTACTCCAATACAACAGCCGCCGCACAGCAACGGGGTCCTCACATTGCCTTCTTTCCTGACTCCTCTTTCCGGCTGTCCCCGGCAATGCCTGCAAATTGAACGTACAACTGTCGAGTAAAATTACCTAAAAAGATACAAACACGAGCGAAATAAAATGTTATATGTACAGTGAACACCGAAAAAAAAGGTGTTATTGAATAAACATGGTGCGATAAAATAACCGAATTTACAGGCAACTGGAAGACAGCCCCTTCCGACATAAGCTCTTGTGTATTGGTTCGTTCTGCAGCGCTTGGAATTGTGGGATGTGTAGTTCAGCGCATTTGGCAACAGTTGAAAATGACTTCCAGAGATGACTCTGTTAGGACAAAATTAAGTGAGATCACACGCCACCAATTGCCTTTTGTATTGTGTCTTAGTAAATAGCTTTCAGTTCTTCTACTTTTCACTTCACAGTATCATAAGAAATAAAAATCCACAGACAAAAGATGGAAAGAACCGGGGCTGATAGAACCGAACCGAATAGTATGCAGTATATAGAGTGATAAGGAAGTAGTTGGCATTGTGGCAAAATAAAAAATATATGTGTGTATTTATTTTTTTGCGGGCCATCAGACTACACAGTTGTTGGTCAATCAAAAGGAAATTGAGATTTTAGAAGATCGTACCACGCATGCATAGTTCAGGGATTTCTACTACAACAGAAAAGAGACTCTGGGAGGGGAAATTAATAAAAAACTGGAGTAGTTGCCCATGGCAACCAGTCAGCTTCTCTGTTTCATTTTCAAAGCTTGACTGAAGAAACTGAAGCTGATTGGTTACCATGGGCAACTGCTCCAGATTCTGTCGGCTCCAGTTTTTATAACTTCCCCTCTCTGTAGCTAGTGTAAAACATGTTAAAAACTGGCTTCCTTGCCGAGAGAGATTCATTCTTACCAAAGCCGAGAGACACAAGTATGCAGTCCACAGCCGAGAGACCCCTGTCAACAGCACATGTCCAAAGCAGTACTACAATAAACACTAAGGGCCCATTCACACCTAAGCTGTTTGTCGCATGTCGATCAGTGCGACAAACAGCTCAACACCAGGAATTCCATTCATTTCTCTGGCCCTTATGCACATGTCAGTGTTTTTTCGCAAAAAGCAGAAATACGCATGTCGCACGAAATACTACATGCGCTACTTTGGGGCAGATTTCAGCGTGTTTTGTACCATAGACTTAATAGAAAGCGCGCATCACTATTTTTTCCGCTTTTCTTTTGTGCATTTTGCCCATTGACATGAATGTGGCAGAGTCTGCTAACAAAACATGTGACATTATATACGTTAAACGTATGCAAAAAATGTGCACAAACCACGCAAAAAAAGACGCAGTAAAACGCTTCGTTTGGCAGATTGCAGCTCGTTTTGTCCCCATAGAGTCAATTAAAAACACGTGGAAACGCACACTGCAATTGGTTGTGCGCGTTTTTACACATGCTTGCCCTTGTTTTTCCCATTCACATCAATGTGTCACAAGCTGCTCATAAAAATGTGCGACTTAATGTAAAAAATGTAAAAACGCACAAATACATGCAGCCTAGGTGTGAATCCGGCCTAAAAGCGGAACCATACTTAATTCTGCTTCAGCAATATGACATCCATGAGCTCCCTTCATCTTGCTTGCTTCTTCCAGCTTCAAGACCTTCAGCCATCCTGATTGGCCAGGTCAGGATGATGTAGCTCCTGCACATGCACACCAGATTTCATTCATCACAGCACCTGCCAGGATTGTACACTAGCTGCACATGTGCAACTCAGTGTACATTTTAAAGCGTTTGCAGGGGGAAATAATCCTTCAAGCTGGGTTCACACCTAGGCAACAGCGCTTTTGTGCGTTTTGATACACATTTTTATGTTAATGAGCAAATACGCATAAAATGCATGTAAAAACGCACAAAAACACAGCAAACACATGTTTTCTAGCGTTTCCTATTGAATCTAAGGAGCCAAAGTGAGCTGTAATATCCCAAAAAAAAGCTCATGTACCTTTTCCAGGGACAGGCGTTTTGCTTATTATTATTACATAGTATTTATATAGCGCCAACAGTTTGCGCAGCGCTTTACAATATAAGGAAGACATTACAATCACAATACAATTCAAGACAAGATGGTAAGGAGGGCCCTGCCCCTGAGGGCTTACAATCTAAAAGGGGAGGGGGAAGTGATACATGAGGAGGTAGCTGTGTGGGGATGAATTGCTTGAGAACGTGACGGTTCAGTGGTTAGGTTGAGGTGGGATTATTGGGACAAAACGCACAGATGTGAACAGGGCCATAGAAATGAATGGGATTTTGGGGGTGGCATATTTTTTGAGCATTTTTTAGGGCAGAGAAAGCGCTATAAAATGCTAAGTGTGAACTAGGCCTTATTGCAGATCACACATAGGGGTCTATTTATAAACAATTCAAAGAGCCATATGCCCTGCGAATCTCTGCGAATAGAGGCAAAAACGAATGTTTCTGGTGTATTTTCTTTTCAGGTCAAATGTAATGTAATACTGTGTTACGGCCATTAGACTTTCTACTATCAGCACTTGACAACGGTCCTAGTTTCAGGTTCATAAAGCCTTTCAGCCTTTGCAACTTAGACCACAACAAAGTGGGCATCACCTCTATTAATTTCCCTGCTTCTCAAAGGTTGTTAAACAAAGACCAAACTGTCTCTTGGTTGACATATCTGTGCAGGGTTGTTGGTCTCTGGAGGAATCCGAGCTTCAGTTTTATGTCCTGGACATGAAGGGACCTGGAGGGTGATTCGCCCGTCATTTAACTGGACCGATATTCTTTCTGGGTGTCTGATTCGCATTCCGTCAGAGAATGCTACAGCAATAGCATGCATCACTCTCCAGGGAGGCATCAGTGTGTCTATGGCGACAGAAGTACATTCGATCTTGGATTGGGCAGAACTTCAGGTTCCAGTGATTTCAGTGGTGCATATTCCAGGCAGGTACATTGTCTCAGCAGACAATATCTGGATCTGGACGAATAGTCTCTCCATTCAAAAGTGTTTTGACAACTTTGTCACCGCTGGGGAACTCCTGATGTGAATGTTTTGTCTTCTCATCACAAGAAGAATTTGAACGTCTCTACTTCCCAGAATTCTTCAGGGCTGTGTCCATCAATGGACGATAGAGAAAATAGGATTTTGTTCTTACTGTAAAATCCTTTTCTCTGAGTCCATTGAGGGACACAGCTCCATCCCTTCAATTTTGTGGTACTGCTTGCTACAACTGGCAGGTGTGAGGTGGGAGAGGGGTGTGTGCTTAAAGTGACAGTCTTTTTATTTGTTTGCATAGTGTCCATTTTTCCTAGAGGCAGCAGCATAACCCTACGCCTCAGAATTCTTCAGAGTTTTGTTCCTCAATTGACTCTGAGAACAGGATGGCAAGAACAAAATCCTATTATTCAGCTAATTCATGTGGTTCCTATGTGCTTTCTGCAGTATTGTCAGAACTAATTATTTATTTTGTTTCACTGGCCTTTCAAGTCCTGCCATTATATTCAGGTTACTGCTAGTCATTAAGTTACCTCTATGTTGCATAAAACAAAACGGTATATTCTAGCACCTATCTTTGGGCTCTAAAGGGTTGTTTTTCAGCTTATAGAATCCTGGCACAGAAGAGGTAATTATGTATAAGTATATAAAACACCAAAAACCTGCTTAGTTTTTATTTTAAATAGAGCAGGTTTTGCCATTTGTGTCCCCTAGATTTCCCTCAGCTCCTGTCCTGTAAACTCAACAGGAATTCGAGAGGATATCTTTCCATTGTAAAGGAAGTCCCTTCACATTGTAAGGTTTCCCCTCTATTCCTGTTCTAGTGATAACTCAAAATTAAGAATTTTGCTTCACTTTAAGTTTTGGTAATACTGGTCACCAGGATATACACTGAGTGGCCAGATTATTATGACCACCTGACGTTTGTAGGCAAATTAGCCATAATTTTGCGCTGAAGTTGCTAGAGGGCCAGACCATTATAAATAGGGAAGCAGGTTGTTTACCACGACAGTAGAAGTGATTTTTTTCTGAAGATATGGGTAAACACCGAGATTTAACAGCCTTTGAACGTGGGATGATTGTTGGCGCATGGAGCGAGTATCAGCAAAACAGCAGTATTCGTTAAATGTTCAAGAGCAGCTGTTGTTAAAGTGTTTAATAACTGGACTGTCAGCCGAAAATCTGGGTCTGAACGTGCGAATTGTGGCCGTCAGCGACTAGTCAATGTTAGGGCAGAATGGAGAGTGCCAAGATATAAAGGGAATGCATCTCCTTGGCAGGGAAACAAACAACAATGAAAACCTAGCAGGGATTATAACCTCTCACCTCTAAAGTTGGGGCTTTAGATTTACTGTAAGGTTGCAGTAAGAAGGGTAAATGGGGGATGGCATTACAATGAGGGTTAGTGTGAGGGGGGCTTAAGGTACATTATTGCTATCTGTTTCCCAAAAAACTACTAGTGCTGAGTTGTCGGGGTTTTTCAATAAGATGAATCTTTTTATCATTGTACGTGGATATGAGGAGAGCCAGGAAAAAGTAATATTTTTCAGATATTTACTGTAATTTTTCTTTCCTAGCTCCTTTAGTTCTCATTGTCAGGGGCATTTTGCTAGAATGCTGAGGAGGGGTTAGTAGGTAGTAAAGGTATAGGTTAGTTAAGGGTTGTCCTGCTACCTCAAGAGCCTTAGCTCATAATATGATGACATGAGGAGAAGCCGGGAAAGGAAAATGTATAAATGTCATTCCTGTACATGATGTCTGACAATCTCAGGTTGTTTTATATTTGGTTTTCAGAAATGACTAGCTGTATCATAACATACCCCTTTTTTGCTTGTTTGCGTTCTGTCTTTATAATAATGGTGTTAGAGGGCAAGCAGTGGCAAGGCTAATCCCACCCTCCGTTAGGGTATATGGAGTGAGCTGACACTCAGTGGGTAGAATGCGGTGGTATGAGTTTCAACCACTGCAGGAAGGAGCTGCAGAGAGTTGGCCTGCTACCTGCTGGGA